TTGAGATGTGATAGGTATATTGGTATCAATGAATCCTGTCGGTAATGGAAAATTGAAAGTGTGGCTCATGCTGTGACCATAAGTTCGGACAAACCCATTATTCTGGAAGCAAAAGCTCGTGCGAGGCTGGTCGAAGTATGCTTAGTAGTAGTGTCGTAGTAGTGCTGTAGTAGACGGGTGGTATTTGAAGTAGGACGGATGGATAGATGTAGAGCAAGCGTTAAAAAGATGGAGTCAAGGATTTTAAACCTGGTAATTGCAGAAGGAACATGCAGTTTAGAAAGCCGGTCAGGATAAACAAGGGCTTGTTTGAAGAGCGGGCCTTTATATGTTATATGTATGTGTATATGTGGAGTGGAAAGAAGTGAAGAGGAAGGTCGAAAAAAGAGACTATGGTGTTATTATTATTATTTTTGGGCGTGGTAGAACTGGTGGATTAGGAACATATGTGATAATTAAAAGATTGTCTGCTTCGTAGATTCAAAAGAAGAGACCAAACCAAGAAGGGACTAAAGAAGACTATAGAGACTAGGAGACTAGGAGACTAGGAGACTAGGAGACTATGAGACTAGGACTGAATCGATCTAGAAATCCCTAAAATCCAACCATCACATCGAATCCAAGCTTTTTTTTTTTTTTTTTTTTTTTTTCTTCCTTATTTTCTCCCTTGGATCTTGGGGGAGGGGTTTATGTGGTATGTGGTATGAGGAGTGAGGAGTGAGGCGTGAGGTGTGAGGAGTGAGATGTGAGGTGTGAAATAGTACGTACGGAGTATTTTTTCAAGTAGTAATGAAGTATTTAGTAACTAAATCCTCTAGTACCGGTAATCGGGTGAGGAGTCAGAAATTACCAGCATGCTAGTATGGTGGTAGTGTGTTCGAATAACTTCTTATTAAGCCGCTAGCTACTTTTCTCAGTCCGAGATCACAATCCATAACCCAAACTTATAAGTTATTATCCACATCCACATCCACATCCACATCCATCTTCGCACCCACATTCATATAGCCCGTTTTCACAGATTTGGAAAACAACAATACATCATACGTTCACTTGCACGCTTCGGCATAAGGATAAATGGGTCGAAAGTCGAAAGTCTGAAGGTCAAGGGCAAAGGAAAAAGACGGTGCAAAGGTTCGAACTTGTGGGGTATGAGAATTGAGCAATGATCGATGGATCAATGATCGTAAATGGATCTATGGAACCATGGAAGTTGAACTAGGGATGGAACCATGGATCCGTGGCGGCTCAGATATGATATGATGTGAAACAGTAGAATGGTAGAATGGTAAAATAATAAAATAGTTTAATAACATAGATACATAAAAAAAAGCCCCCTGGGTCTATCAAATAATTGTAATAGTCTAGGGATACTATGTGGTATGAGGACTAGCTCAATCCCTCCTTGAGTCCTCAATTCAGATTGAGTTTATACAGATCTGAGTCTGATGAATATGAATACCTAGTATCTGCCTACCTAGGCCTGGTTGGCTCCCAGTCCCCTCAGTCTACCCATCTAGCACCGGTATATATGAATATGGAAAAATAAAAGTTCAAACTTTATTTTCATTTGGTGCCACCATGGTGCCATGTTCTGCACCAAGCTTCTTTTAGAGAAATCTGAGATATAGTGGTATTCAACTTTGGGAGGGGGCTTAACCGGGGGATGGTAAAGTATTTCACGACAAGGAATAAAGCGTGGCAGAGCAAGGTATGAGAGGCCAGCTCGCAAAAAGGAATACAAAATAGAAAATAGATTGATTTAATAACGACCGATCGGGGATGAGTGTTTTACTAGGTAGCTAATTTATTATGAATATTAAGTATTATCTATCTATCTATCTATCTATCTATCTATCTATCTATCTATCTATTTATCTATCTATCTATCTATTTATCTATCTATCTATCTCTTTATCTATATCTCTATCTGTTCATTTGTCTATCTATCTATCCATTCATCCATCTATCTATCTATCCTAGATACATTCTACATACCCTTCTGTTGTATGTTGATATACCGGTAGTATCATGTAGTCGTATCATATATGTACCATGGTACTAAAATCGATCTCCTCACATTGAGAGTAAGAGAGCCGGATATACAAAGATGTCAGATAAAGGAACCTGTCTTCCGTATTGTTGTCTACCGGTATCATTCATATTGTCCATAGCATCATGGTCTGTCGACCGGTATATCCACTGACCATGGCTCATCGCCCATCGCCCATTTCTTGCCCAGAAACTGGTAAGATCGTTTAGCGTCTTATGTCAACTGGAATGATTGGCTTTGACTCTGTAGCTTGGATTTATTCCAACACGCATAAGTTACTGGTGTGTCGGCTATTAGAATGAAGTTTGACTCAATTAGTGCCGTCTAGTTCACTGCGAACGACATAATTCAACCTACTGACGCCGGCACCCTCTTTTCTAAAATAGTAAGAGGTCTGACACACTTTGTCATCGGCTAGTATCAAATACCGGCCGATATACGCAGGGAATCCTTATGTTGAAGCACATCATCTCTTGTGTGAACTCAGACATTCTTTGATATGGCATTGTGCTCATAGTCCCTCACACCCTACCTGGGTACCGGTGTCATGACAATTCAACTGTATGTGATATATGGAGTACGGAGCAGCTAATTGTCCATCTCGTTTCGAAAGGGATCTTCCATCATAGTGGATGAGTAGTAATACGATATACTGTACCAAGTAACTGCACACGGTAAATTAATTCTGGCCTGTCATTGGTGTGTTCGTTTCCGTCTCCAGAAAAAGCTACAAGTACCCAGCCGCCATTCCCACTGCCGTCCGTCCCCATAAATTTTGAGTTTGTCAATGTTCAATCTCCATCTCCATCTCCATCTCCATCGGTTTCCACTTTCCAGTTCCCACTTTCACAACATCATTTGCCAAAAAATCCGGTAGAAAGTGGAAGTGCAAGCAAATGCGAAATTAGTGCTTGCGCAGGTGCTCTTAGCAAGTATTCAGGTTCATGGGGGAAACGCAATCCACATCCCGTCGCCTCACGTCTCCATATAATGCTTCTACCCGACCTTCGATGATACGGGAAATCGGTACACCAAGAATTCTTACGGCCGTTGCATCCCTAGATCTATGTGCTTGCCGAAGGGGTGTTTGGATGGCTACCTAGGTAGGTGTGATAATGAGATGTGAATACATGGTTATAAAATGTGCTCTCTATCTATCTATCTGTCTGTATCTACCACTTCTAATTTTACAACATGCTTGTTATTCGCTCTGATTAATTGTCATACAGGAAATGCGCAATGATGGTGAAAAAGGAAACCCAAATGAAACGTTTAACTACTTTGGGCGAACATCAAGGGACCTCGTTGCTTATTTCTCGTGGTTGGGATTTCTTCAATATCGGTAAACAATGTGTCTTCAAAGAAGGATTTGGATGAAACAAGCATTATTATAACCTTAGCCAAGTTGGGGAATATTACACGGTATGTTGAAATTGGTAATCATTCTATAATCGTACCACCTGCAGGTTTAACCTGACTGACGAATCCACCAACAACTAGAACGGTTGGTTTTATACGACGTATAACATAACATCCATACCACCACCACCATACACTTTTCCATTTTGCCATTGTACAACGTAAGGTCATCTCCAACTCCAACTCCGTGCCCGTTCCCTCGGTACTTACAACGCTCGGTCCCGAATGCCCATTGGGAAGTAATGGGAAGTAATGATTGAATTCGGAATTTATCATCGGTTGGAACTTCCGAGAACTGCTGAAAATTCCATCAGTCTTCACTCCTGGACGAGGGTTCCATACCTTCTCACACGGAGGAGACAGGGAGGAAAGCTCCCCAGTTGCTCACACATGCCTAGGTAATCTGTTCGAACAATACAATACAGTATCGGCTTACCCACTCATTAAACAATGCTGATAACCACGGAGTAGAAGTATGGTACTCTACTGATTGAATTTACTTGATTAGGTTGTTCAATCTCTTACTCAGGGTCCTACAAATGACATTGGTCGCCGACTGCCCGCTTTTTTGTCGTCATTGTACAACCTTTCCTTTCCTAAAACCTATCCACTGATTCCACTCATGGTCTTGTATCACACATGAGTAATCACCGGTCTTCATGCTTCCGAAATGAATCTTGAAAAGTTCGTATATAAAATAGTGCTGGATAGTGATAGGCACGGGTAAGTAGGATCTACCAAAGACATAGTGAAAAGATCATCGCTAAGCAATCTAAATCAAGCCCTGCCTCTCATGATCATAAAACAATGTGCATCTATCTCTGCGGGTCGTATATTACCACCTATGTGATCGTAAGTAAAAAAGGCCACGACATTTGATTCACATGTTCCGTTTGAACTTTGACAACAAATCTCGTCTCAAAACCTTTAAACCCATATCTCGCTTCTCAAGGTAACGCTTCGATAACTTGTAATTATGCAGGTGATGCCCTTTACCCTGATCAGGGACGTGCTCCGGCGGCCTCCAACTCGTTTAGGCTTAATTTAACTTGGTAAAACTTGTCTGGATTCTACAAGCAAACGAAAAAAAGAACGTTCGACTGATCCACCTATGTGCTCAAAGCCTCAAACATCACACCCATTGGCTCCCGGCTGATCATGAAAAATGTTGAAATGTCAATCATGAGTAGAAGCGAACAAAAGAACAAGAAGATGCAAGCGTGAGATGCAAAAAGAGCCGCGCTTCAGGGGTTTCTCAGGATGATCTTAAGCCACTAATTGCTAAAAAAGACGCCAACGGTGGAAAGATGCCAAGATCGATTCGTCTATTGGAAAAAGCAACTACAGTATTTCATTTCGGTATATGTCCCTTGTTGATATAGATGATTTCTTTTCTTTCCCTCTCAAGAGCCGAACGAGACGCATATTCCATATTTCCGGATTCGGATCCGAGTGCATATCTCTACAGTGCCGCAAACGGGCCGCAGCATGACCCCCTCCCCATATTGCTTGTGGCATCCTCGCAACTATGGCCTCTTCGGGTAGTCTTCAATCTTATCCTGGGGACACGACCTCCGGTGGAATTCCAACGACTCATTTGGTGTCAAACGTGGTGTTCCCGCAAGAATCCATGAAGCCAACGATAGCAATCTTACTCCAACGGCTAGTATGCTCTGTTCTGAAAATGATCAAGCCCATCCATGTCGAAGGAATAACCGAAACTGATATCCAAAGAACTGGTAGGATGACCCGACTGTGCCTCTTGTCTGCAGGGACAAGCGCCGAGATTTGGGACCAACCAAAATTATCTACACTCCTCACTGCAGATAATATGGAGAAGCAGCTCGGGTCTGGTGCCAAAGCTTCAGGGGTGGGAAATGGCCTTCATGGGTGCCACGAAGTCCACGATAAGGCCAGTCACATTGCCGTCGGACGTGCTTGCCGCATAGCCCGGGAGGGGTTTGGGAAATACCGTTGTAATTGAGTTGCAGTACATCAGAGTGGAGTGAAGAGTGAACCATGTGATTTTTCTCATGACATACCCAATATTAATGCCAACATCGAGCAGGAACACTAAGAAGGCATGCACAATTGGCAGTCTTCCTTCAGTACGTAAAATCCCCTCAAGCACCCAAGCAATACCTTCCACAGAAGCGAGAGAAGTTCCATATCCAACAAGTTCCATGCCTTTGGGCTTACTTTCTTTGGGGCTCAAATTGAATTTAACGAATGAGATTGGGCAAAGGGCGAAAGAACAGTCTGGTCGGCCTCTCACAAGGACTAGCATTACATTCCTTCTGACTGCGAAAGTCTTGGCATCCATGTGCCGCACACATCCAACGTCACGAAAGGTCATATTGTCTCGGGATTTTCGAGGAAGATACATTACCATAAGCTACCTAGCGGGATTCCATACTGCTCGCTTAGAAGATAATACTTGAGGAAATCTGATTGGTCCAATTACGAACATACGGCAAGCCTGTCAGCTTTGAATCTTCAGAATCACCCAATCCGTGTCATGCCAAATTCTAAAGATAGTCCCAAATTTCCCATACACATAACAGACCCAGACAATGGGTAAACAACAAGTGGTGCAGATCGAAGGGGAGTCTCATTACCGGCCGTTGCACGAAAAAGTATGAACTTTGTGCGATCAAAACCGAGAAAGGCAGGTCGGTTAGGTGTTACCAACACCTTGGGTCAGCTTCAAACTACGCATGGGTATTTTTTTATTAATTGAAGTGTAATTAACATGGATATCATTGGGACTCTAGTCTCTACTGCGTATGATTTACTCAAGTTTCGACAAGGGGTGTTACAACTGGGGGTGAATAGACGAAGAACAAAAGCCCTGGGGAGCGGAAGAATATCCCGAGCTCTCTACGTGGAGTGAAGGTCGGTGGGTAGGGTCTAGATTCTAATACGCACATCGCTTATTAGCCCAGAAATGCCAAAATCATACCGGCATCCCACAGGCCACTCGTTAAAATTTTCCACAAGCGGGAAATTTAATAGATGATCCCACGTTTTTCCTTTTTACTCCATGCAGATCGTGAGGCAGATGGAGAGGGGGGACGACAGTTGTAAGCTGGATTCGAGGGTAGTCTAGCGTCATTGAGGCTGCAAAGTGTAACCCAAGACTGTGCAATCTGCACTGCACTACCGATGAGGGGGTTCGGATATGCCGTGATTCGTATAAATCCTAGGAAAAGAATAGTTCATTATTGGTGCGAAATCACGCAGCGTCATATTCTGGGCGCGCAGCCAATCAGAGAAAAGAGCGAAGAGCGAGATTATGGGGAAGTGCTAATCGAAATTTATGGTATCCTTGATTTAGCGATGGCAATTTCTGCTGCGAGAAATTTCCTATCGAAGAATAGAGAATGGTTCAAATATGGGACGAAAATTCAGGAGTCTACTCCGTACTTCCTCGATACTGTATGTACCGTATCGTAATCTTACGTACCTACTTTCGGGGGAAACCAACAGTTATCCTCGCCGAGATTATGGATGGGGTGGGCTGGGTCGTTCGCAGAGAGAATCGAACGATTATTGTCTTGACGTATGGATAACATCATGCGAGTCTTGGGTGAGGAAAGGGGGGAATGGGAGAAACTGGAGAAACTAATTCCGGGAATGTGTACTTCGTACATGTTTCTTCGTGTTTCGACTCATGAATAAGTCATATTGCCATTACCATATAAAGCATGCATGCACTGTACACATATCCCAATGTCGGTTGTATACATGTGATGTATGTCACTACCCAAAGATATTCATGTTATTCAGGTTGTACAGGTTATTCATGTGCCTAGCAGTGCCTACATCCGATTCTACACGGTGTTGGGATCGGCTTAAAATATTGTCCGAATTTGCACAAGCATGTTTATCTGATGGCTGGGGCATGATGCTGAGTGAATGATTATGTTATGCATTAGATGGAATAGTACAGTTTTTCTTTTATCCTTTGGGTCTCCTTACTTCTGCTAAGGATTAGGTTCTCTGGTGAAGCTAAATAAATGTTTTCTTCTATTGGTTTTCGATGTGATACAAGCGACAAAATCATCAAAATCATCTAATCGTCGATTTTGTTCCCACACCCTCCCCAAAGATAGTAGAAAATTCATCATCACTCATTAAAATTGTATGGCTCAGAAGGGTCCCAGCGGAGTGGTTACATTTATCCATCAATATTCTACAAGCAGCCCACAGCAAGGCCCCATTATCCGATTTGGGTGATTCTATCTCTGCTTAGCTATTCTTCCGTTTTACCCTCCATTTTCCAACCGCGCGTTTCAATCCAATCATACCCTATCGCATCACTCGGACATTAGTAGCTACGGGTATACAGATACGGCATCGACTAGGGAGGGCTATCTTTTCTCATACCGTGCCACTAAAATTTCGCTCCAGCCTCTCACATCTCTGTTTATACTGCTGCCTTGTCGTGTTGGTACGACGATTCTTGGGAGGGTCAGAGTTTGTGGAGACGAGAGACAGAGCCAGAGACAGCCCGGCATCTACTCCCGCGCTGCAAAGACCACTTACGGAGCAACCCTTATTATTAATCTAAACATGTATGTACCTACCTTCTTGGTTGACTTCTGATTACATTGATTGTCATCTATCTACCGGTACCATGTCTGCGTTCGCCACGAAATCCACCCCCAAAATCCAAGTTCCGTGTAACGTCCGAACCTAGAAATTCTCTCGTCGTGAATAGTGGACCTTCTCTCTCCTACACGACAAACATGTTCACACCCTTCACATGTTACCATCTCTGGGGACGTGGCCCGTCGTGCCACATGGTTTTTACGATCTTTAGCGGCACGGCACAGCAAAAACAATCTTGCGTGATGCTGTCAGCTGCGTGGCAGTCGAACGACACAGCAAAAGTGGTGTTTGGGGGGATGGGAAACCCTTTTTCTTGACTGGTGATTGAAAAGCCCACCATGACACAAAGTTCCCATCCTACCTCATTCCATTTCATTCTTTTCCAAGGATTTGTATTTTGTTCCATGCTTTCGAGAGATTGTATCGGCGACGGGGATAGCTTTCTAATTGTAGTGTTTCTAATATGTCATGGAGATGCAAGGGATCAATAGTGTAGCATAAGCTTCATTTCGACCACCATTGATTAAGTACTCAGGAGGCGCAATCCAGTTGATTCGATGTAAGCTGTTCATCTTTACGATGCCGTAGGCACGCGTGCATTACAAGAAAGCCCTCTCTCTCTGAGTTTCCGAATGAGAAACATGGGGGAAGAATCCATCCCATCGAACGAAAATCCCCAGAAGCTTTCTAGAATCTCCAGGATTTGTTTCTTCTCTAAAGTTCTCTCGCTTCGGTAAAATGCTTGAATGCTAACGGGGGGCTCACCGCTCGGGCTCATTCGAAATCGAAGGATTCCTTCGTGTGTCACTGCAGGCATGTAATATGCATACACCGCCAATATAATATACGGCATACAAAGGTGTTAGACGGCACATTTGGACAAACAAGATGCACGATGGAAGACAAGGAAGTATCGTGGTCTTCACGGGGTGTGGTCCATTCTCTCTCGGTATAGTCTGCTGATGGAAGTCATCGCGTAGGCAACAGAATGAAGGATTCCTCCACCTTTCCTCTTTCTCTCGCCACAGCGTTTCCTCATATCGTGGGATTCTCGTGCTGGCCCTGTCGCTTGCGTTCTACTTCCGATGGAAAGGTCTGCGCCGCATGTGAGTGCTCCTGAAACTCAGACATATATATGTATGTACGTGAAAGCGGTTATTAAAATGCTTTGAATGGATGGCTACACGGAGATTGTATCGAGTACATAATCTTCCTTTAATTTTTAATTTTTTTCAAGAAATTTCGTGAAATCCTATGTTGCTTTAATTAATGATGAAAGTAGCTCAAACTCCATGATCATAGCAAATTCACCGTTTGTTGTATCCACAGTGATCTACATGCCTCACAATGTCTTTCATGTACGTATGTAAAAGGGCGATCGTAGCACTTTCTATTTCCATCACGAACGCATCAGCAGGCAAACTAACTTGAAGTCTCGTCAATCGTGATCTCCACCACCATGCCATGTACTGGATCTCCCGATTCCAAACCTTCCAAGACTCGCCTCACTGCCACGTCTCTCGTTGCATGGCGCTTCTGGGTTTCCTGTGGGAGTAACGGTTTGTTTGCGATCATCACTCCGTGGCAGTCATATGCTCTGGCCTGCTCTGCCTTCGGCACATCATTTATGTTCAAATCGCACATCTCTTCGTGCACGTATCGTATGGAGTTCCTATTGAATTATCAACGGTCTTCCGATCCAAGCGCTGCGCCTAGACGGGCTGAAAGTCTCGGATGATGGAAAGTTTAAACTTTGTATGATGCAATCATCTGTTTGTTGATATTCTAGATTCTCTAGTTGGTAGTTTACAAATTCCTTTCCTTGACTCACTTCTTGTGCCACATACCCACCTCGCAGAATTCGATATCGTGGAGGCTCGAGTATACTAGATTTATGTATGGATGTATGTGTGTATGGAAATGTGTATGGATGTGTGTATTCTTCTCAGTCGATTCAATTCATAGATACACTTACTCTACACGCTCACTCGCTCGCATAACTTCTTCTTTCGTTGCCAAGTGCATATACGTATAACCAATTATGAGGTGAAGCTTGCTGTGCAAATCATCACACAAACTATTTGCTCCTATGGTGTAGAGAAACCCTTAGATACTGGACTCTACTAGATCTATGCCAATTAATCCGCAACATTCGTAGCCTCCGATATCAAATCGAGCCTGACTTCCTCTAATGCGCTTCCCCCTTCCTTGTCCATCATCATCAATCCAACAATGTCCCAATACAGTTATAGACGTGAGATACGTGGCAGGGAGGAATCTACCATTTACTTTTGTACATGGATTTTGGTTTGTTGGGCCGTATATTTCGTAAATTAAGAAAGTTAGTAAGGTATGTTTGTACAGTGTTGGCTGGCAAGAGGAGACATCGTATGTTCCTTCGAAGATCGCGTTTGGGATTGAGCCACTGCTTTGTTTGTTCCTTGAGGGATAGGTGATTATTCATGTCAGATGGGTTTCCTGATGGGTTTGCGGATTTACGGTGGAATTTATGTGGAGTAGGGGGTGTTGTAGGATGCTATCTGGGTGTTCTTGGGAGGAAGTAGAAAGAATAGAAATCTCCACCTTGTGATTATAAATCTCACAGCAGTATTCTAATTCTTGGGGGTCTTGATCTAACATGTGTAGATAGCTATTGGAAGTAGGTAGCAAGTCGAATGGTATTCATCTTAATCCGTTAATGAAGAAACGTTTATACTTCACTTTTCTAGTCTTTAACCATTCAATTCAAGTCATAGGATTAGAACAATATCTTTGTGATCGTGCTTACCCCAACAAGTTATCAAGTCTTCTCGTCTGTAACCTCGCT